CCTAGGTAAGAAACTGTGTGCGGAGTTCTACTGTATCACATGGTTTGCTATGTGTTGGAATAGACTTGATGGCAAACAACCACTATAACAACAACAATAACCTGTTTATAAATGCCAATGACTGTGTGGAAATATTTAGTTAAGGAGATTGTAGAAATGGGGAAAGTACCTTTTACTTTTACAATTAAGTGGTACCCCCCCAATAGTGTTAATTTTTTGTGTATTCAATTGTTGTTAAGCCATCAAGTCGGTTCTGACTCAAAACAACCCTATTTAGGGTTTCTGAAGAGAGGCTGGTGGGTTTGAACTGCTGACCTTGCAGTCCAGTGCATCATCCTGCAGCACCAAAACATGGCACAAATTCTTAGATCCCAACTAGAGCAAAGGGTGATCTGAACTAAACTCTACATGTTTATGTTGTTGTTGTTTGTTTTTAATTGCTGTTGACTTAGTTCCTGCTCATAGCAATACAATATAGGGTTTCCGGGGAGCAGCTGGTGGATTGGAACTGCTGACCTTGTGGTTCGCAGTCCAGCTGATCCTCCAGCGCCACAGCAGGACAGCAATAAGAATTGCAGTTTTCTTGCTTTGAGACTGTTACTAGGCTGGGACAGTAACTAGAGTTTTACTTGCTCAAGGTCCTTTAAAGGAGTTGGTTTTAATAATTGTGATACAATGTACTCATACAGTAGGTTAAAGTTCCTTCAAAGTCTGTTCTGAATTACTAACAGTGTATAATTTTTCTGAATCTGAGTATCTCTAAATTCATTAGTTGTATTCTACAAATACTTAACATTTGAAAACTCATTGTGGCAAAATGTAAGTTTTTCAGGTGCATCAGTTTTTAAATGTGTCCTAAGGTTGTGATTTTGATACTTTTTTGGATGGCGTATTCTATTAATAAAATTTTGGTGATTGTACCCCTAAACTATTTATGAGTCTGTACGTATATATGTGTATGAAGATATAATCTTCAATGTATATATATATGTATATATATATATACACACACACACACACACATTTGTGTGTGTATGTGTATAGTATGTATTATGAAGATAAATAAGAAAATTTAGGTTAATATTAAAAAATAGTGTGATATATGACAGAATGAATGTAAAACCTGTGGTCTCCCATGTAAACTATCACATAATTCACAATAAAACATTTATTTAAAAAAAAAAAAGTGTGATATCCTGCTAATTAGAGTCCTGGTGTGGCTCTGTAGGATTAGCTTGGGACTGCTAATGACAAAGTTGGTGGTTGAAACTTACCAGCTGCTCCTTGGAAACCCTATGCAAGGTCACTATGAGTCAGAACTGACTTAACAACACTTAACAACAACAGTCTTGTTAATCATGATGGCTTCACGGCATCATTAACACCTTAAAACAAACTCATAGATAACAAATGGTAAGGTCCTCATAAAAGACAATTTAAATGGTTTGCTTTATGACTACTAATATCTGGGTGCCTTTTTAAAGATCTGATTAGCTAGATCATCATAATTTTTACCTTACCATGGCTGAGAAAAGAAATGCCAGTTTTGTCATATTCTTTATGTTCCCTGGTTTGGACTACTGTTACCGTCAGTATTTTGATTTTCTGGAACAAATCATTTAAAGCCACTTGTCCATTGTTTAAACTATGTACGACCCTGTGTGCTGTTGCTGTTAAGGACTGTTGAGTTGGTTCTGACTCATAGTGACCCTGTATAGGGTTTCTATGGAAGAGTTGGTGGGTTTGAACTGTCACTCTTGTGGTTAAAATTCACCTTGTGGTTCAGTTCTTTATCCCACAGAGCCACACCAAGACCATGTATAAACTCATATAAACCCAGATTTACCTAAACTGAAACACACAATACTTTTGAGAGTGAGGGGACAAGAGTGAGTACCACTCCACATACCTGTCTATAAATATTCTCTGTGTTTATAGACATCCCAGGGGATTATCTTACATAGGACACTCAATTGCTGAGTGCCCCCACTGTTGTTGTTGCCATCGAGTCAGATCCGACCCATAGCGACCCTAAACAGGGTTTCCGAGGAGCAGCTGGTGAGCTTGAACTGCCGACTTTGCAGTTCAAATGGCTTTGCAGTCTGGCACATTAACCCACAGCACCACTCCAGGACTCCATGAGTGCCCCAGCAGGTTCCTATAAATAAGCTTCTATTTTCTGGAGTCCTGGTGTGGTGCTGTGGGTTAATGCACTGGACTGAAAAGTTGGTTTGAACTGCAAGGTCGGCAGTTCATGGTCACCATCCACTCCTTGGAAACCCTATATAGGGTTGCTGTGGGTCAGAACTGACTCTATGGCATGTAACAACAACAACAAATAGCATTTTCTTAAAATATAGTTTAAGTTAAAAAAAAATGAATTTGAGAGAACAATACACAAGAAGAGGGAGATGAATAATGAAGATAGGTAGAGAGACAGGGAGGCCTGCATGGGTTAAAGGGAGTAGACAAGTATAGTGATACATTCACAACCTCAGAACAACAGTGTTCTGTGAGTACACACACACATACGTATAACCCACTCTTCCTCTTTGCCCATTCAGCCAATGTTTTAATCCAACAACACTGTTGTTCTGAGGTTGTGAATATGTCACTATACATGTCTATTTCCTATAAATAAGCTTCTATTTTATGGAGTCCAGGTGTGGCACTGTGGGTTAATGCACTGGACTGAAAAGTTGGTTTGAACTGCAAGGTTGGCAGTTCATAGTCACCATACGCTCCTCAGAAACCCTATACAGGGTTGCTGTGGGTCAGACCTGACTATTCCTTTTAACCCACGCAGGCCTCCCTGTGTCTCTACCTATCTTCATTATTCCTTCTTCTTGTATATTGTTCTCTCAAATTCATTTTTTTTTAAACTTATATTTTAAGAAAATACTATTTGTTGTTGTTAAGTGTTGTCAGGTCAGTTCTGACCCACAGCAATGTGGCATCAGGATTGGAGGAAGACTCATTAACAACCTGCAATATGCACATGATATAACCTTGCTGGCTGAAAGTGAAGAGGACTTAAAACACTTACTGTTGAAGCTCAAAGAGCACAGCCTTTTGGTATGGATTACATCTGAATGTAAAGAAAACAAAAATTTTCACCACTGGACCAATAAACAACATTCTTATCAATGGAGAAAAGATTGAAATTGTCAAGGACTTCATTCTTCTTGGATCGACTATCAACACTCACAGAAGCAGCAGTCAAGAAATCAAATGATGTATTGCATTAGGTAAATCTGCTGCATAAGACCTTTTTAAAGTGTTGAAGAGCAAAGATGTCAGCTTGAGGACTAAGGTGCTCCTGACCCAAGCCATGGTATT